AATGGAGATATGTGTGACAATATTGTATGGTTGTTATATGTTGGAAGTGTCTCTGTAGCATGTTGTGCGCACAATATTGGGTTCATTGTGTGCTCTATTTAATGGTTTTTACTATAGCCAGTAGATGGCAGCAGTACACTTTTTATTTTTGTTAGTTGAGCATCTTTGCTGCACTTTGCTGAAGGTCATTACCAAGAATGAGACCAGGGTAGGGCTTTCTTGTTCTGGTTTCTCTTGATGGTTACCAATACCTAATACTGAGTGTTTCTTAATCTCTATCTGCCCTCCCCCCTCTTATTCTCTTCCAGAATCTAACCTAAGTCGCTGTGGGTTTCGAGGATCATCACATATTGGAATTCCTTACAGCACTAAGGTACTGCCCCTCCTTACCCCACAAGGTTTTAAGACCTGATCCCATGTTTTACCAAACACTGTGTCTTGTCTGTAAAGCATCCCCTCCCCTTGCTTTAGTCTAAAGATATATTTTTGGGGTATTCACCGCTCTGATCTCCTATTTTCTCTAAATTTCCCTTTTGCGTTAATCCTTTCTCAAAATGTATTTGGATTTTTAAGCCGGTTCAATCATTGCACTGATCCGTTCTCTCACATCAGGGGGTCTGGGCCATTTCCAGTTTAATTAGCATCACCCCAGCAGCTGCAATATTAAGCCATTGTGTTAGATGTATTTTTCACATTTGGCATTACTTCTCTATTCCCATGGAGACATAGTTGTGGATGTAATGACATTGCCAACCCGAGTCATTTCCCCAAAAAGGTATTTTTGTCTGTGGGTGGCTAAGTACATGATCTGTCTGGGCCTGTTATTGCTTTTAAACAGTTTTTCCCCTCTAGTTGTTTGTTTTAATAACTGCTTTAATCTCTTGTTTTTTTGGGGGGGGTCATTCCACTGCAGTTGTATCGAATAATATCTCATTTTGATCTTTTCTTCAGGGACCAGGCGTGCTCCATCCATATGACAGTGGCCATGTAGCCATGACCTACACTGGGCTGTGCTCACTTCTAATCCTGGGAGACGACCTGAGCCGGGTTAATAAACAGGCCTGTCTGGCTGGTCTCAGAGCACTGCAGCTGGAGGACGGCAGGTCAGTACAAACACACACACACACACACACACACACATCTAAGTTTGCACTGGCACTTTCACTCTGACTCAAATACACCTGAGGTCATGTGAACACTAGCCGTCTTAATGTGAACTGACATCAGCTCTCATATTCTGAATATAGACATTCAGCCAATTTTCAGCTGTTTGTGTAACTCTGTCGTCTTTGTGGCGCCCCGTGTCCGTATGTCCTTCCAGTTTCTACGCAGTGCCAGAAGGAAGTGAAAATGACATACGGTTTATCTACTGTGCAGCCAGTATCTGTTACATGCTGGATGACTGGTCAGGCATGGACATCCAGAAGGCCATTGAGTACATCAGAGGAAGTTTGGTGAGTAGATGTTAAAAATGTAGACTGAGACGTTAGACTGCGGGGTGAATATGAAGTTTTTACTGCGCCTGTAATGAATGAATACAATGAGACCTATATTCCAGACCAACAGGCCCACCCCCCTAACGGTACAATCTGTTTGTGAACCATTCAAAGCAGTGCCTCTACACTTGAATGGGGAGACTAGGCCACCCACCTTCAGTAGGTGGCACTCTGCCTAGAAATACTTCATTTATAATAAATGGGGGCGGTTGAGCAGTGCATCATGGTCTTAAAGTTGAGTTTTTTTCCGCCCCACCAGGAGGAAAAACAACATCTTCCAAGTTTTATGATGTGGCACTTGAGTGTTATTTTTGTCAGATGTTACTCAACCCTTACTTTAGCCTCAGTAGTTGTGATGTGGGGTCGACACATCAAAGTGGTCTTTGTGAGGTATTGTCTTCTCTTGGCATCTCCCTCTCTTGTACAGCTCAAGTCCCCAGAGCACAGAGATTGTCCCGTTCATCTCTTCAACTTCAGCTTATTTTAAGTCTGACATTTAACACAAGAGTGTTTCGTTACATAATTTCTTCATTGTGCGCAGGGTGTGTTTAACTCTCACACACAGACACACAGGGAGAGAGAGATCGAGGGAAAGCTGTGTTAATTAGTTAACAGATAACTGTAAATCATTTCTAAAGAGTATGTTTATCCACATGCCACATGTTGGTGGTTGGATTCCAAAAAGCGTCTTTGGCAACGCGAGTTAGTTGTTGGTGAATGTAAGTATACAGAAACTAAAACAAAAACACCAGATGATAGGTGGCTTTGTATGGAAAAGCCCTGGAACAGTAGACAAGTTTACCACTTGCATTCGGATGACGCCAGGTTTCTATTTACTAACCATATTGTTATGGTTTGATCAGACCAGACACACAAGCAGACAAGGACTCAACCTTGTTAGATTTTCCCAAGTGACAGCCATCTGCTGTTGAACTTGTGTATTTTTGTAGGAGTCACTGCTTATAATAGGTAGTCGTGTTGCTTCGAAACTTTTCAAAGTTTCAGTGAACGGAAATAACCATGTCTCCAAGTGTAATCCCAAAACGGTGTCATAGAGGATGCTCATTTTTAGCTGCTCTGTTCCATTAAAAAAAGTTGGTTACGGCTAAAATACAGGTAAACCCCATCTGGGACTATTACCAGCTCTCGTGTAACATTTATTGTACTTAAATGAAAGACTCAAAGCTCAAAGGTAGCAAATATGTTGTGACGCATCACATTTGAGCTGATCTGTAGTCTACAAAGTCGGTTAAAACCGCTGTGAGGGAATGTTGGTGTTTGTGGTGACATTTTTCCATTCAGTTGTAAATTATGACTCACAAATGGGCTTTTTTTTTTGTTTGGGCATTTGGCTTTATTTTGGATAGTGACAGTCGAGAGAAGCAGGAAAGGCAGGGTAGAGGATATCAGGAGATGATATACAGGAAAGCGCCTGGGCCTGAGATGGGTTCAGGATGAATAAATGAATGCAGTTTCTTTTTACATTTATCTCTTTCGTTAGCCTTTCTTGCCAGATGAAATAATGCCTGTAATTGAGTGGCTTTTTTCTTTGTTCTCTACACAGTCCTACGACAATGGGTTTGGCCAGGGAGCTGGACGAGAGTCACATGGTGAGTGCGATCATCCTTTAATGGTTCATACTTACAGGGTATAGATAACAGAAATGTGAGTTTAAAAGCCGAACGCGCATCAAGGGGATGGTTGCGTAGGTCAGAGAAGAAGAGAAAAAATGTACACACTTACACAACCCAGATTTAAGTCTGATTTATGAACGTAATTTAGATTTTCATATTAGATCAAAACGTGTGTGGGTGTGTTGGCAGTGTCGTGGTAGAGGGCATGAAAGTGGCTGATGGGAGTAACTGGTTTAAAGGATTAGCCAATAAAATCTCTGTAGATGCATTGTCCTAATTAATCCCTCCCTCATGCAAATTAAACCTTATTATTCTGACACAAAAGCCTTCCTCCTACACACACACACACACTCTTCAAAGCACTGGTTGGGACATATCTGTAGTTGCCTTTTTGACACGGTAAAGGTAGCATTTCCTGTTGAATCTATAGAATTAAAACTGCACGACGGGGCAGATCCTAGTTTGTCTTGGTAATTTCCCTTGCGATAAATTCAACTTCTATGATTACAGGCTTTCATTCATCTGTCTGAGGGCTGATTACACGTCAGTAGAGATATACAGTAGATCCCCCATTACCCATCCACCCTTGAAGTGTGTGTGTTTGTTCAGCACCAAGACCTCCCACACTGTGTTCTTCAAATGTGCTCTTGCACTGTTTTTGGAGATAACTGTGTTTGAGCCTCTGTATAGTTCAATATGTGACCCTTGGTATTACAGAAGCTGTGTGCCAGGGGGGATAAATTAACTTTCTCCTATGGTTTACATATACAGCATTTGGCTTTTATCTCACTGCTTTCTCTTTATTTCCAGTATTTCTACTTCTTTTGACCACAGACTCTTGTTTTCTGAGGGCTTCTTGTTCCATTGACTGCACAATTTTCTATGAATAATGTACTGAGGCCTATGAGGAAAAGTAGTTATCTTCAGGTCTGAAAAGGGTGCCAAAAAGCTGCTGTTTAGTGCATTCTTTATTTCTATTTAAAATATACTTGAATTGTTATAAAGCATATAACTGTCCCCAACCTACTGTTAAGAGTCAGTGCTTTTGGGTTGCCCACAGTTGTGTTTGATCCAGATTAATATTTATCCCCTCTGATCTTCCCGTGCCTCCAGAAGATAGCGAGCTCGACATGGTTGATTGGAGGCGAGTGTAACACATTGGCAGATTTACACCCCTGACCCACACACTTCACCCCACCTCTTCTTTGTTTCTCTCCCCTCATACATGAGCACACACAAACACAGATAAGCGGCCAGGGATGGTGGGAATATTTAGAGAGGAGTTAAAGGCATAGTGATAAAGAAAGCAGTTGACAGTCGGGTTGTAGAAGGTGATGGATAGCTGCTACTTGTGGCTATACTGATAACGGCCTGTCATCAATCAGTGCACACACTCATGTTTGTATCACTCTAGCTGTAAAGACGATCTGTAGTCAGTCACCGGCTAAAGAATCTTTATTTTACTCAAAAGTCTTACATTGTTGTACAGAGAAGTATAAAGATGCAGCCGTTTTCCTCGCACGCATTTCTGTGTATTCATACGAAACATAAGGTAGCTCCACATTGTGATAACTTCCAAGAAAAGGTGGAAAGTGAGAGTAGCAGCATGCTAATCAAATATTTGGCAGTGAAAGGGCCCACATGCAGACACACCCTCTGTTTTTACTGCAATGTCCTGTAATCATGTAGGTGTCAGTCATTAAAACATGTCTGCGTGAACTACGGAAACTGCTCTCAATTTGAATATATTGTCAGAAATTAGTAGTCTCACTTAATTCATGTGTGTTAGGAGTTGCTCATATCCACTTTCTGTATGTGTGTGTGTGTTGTGCACATTCCTGTCTGTGTGTCCAGGTGGCTGGACGTACTGCGCCATAGCCTCGCTGTGTCTGATGGGTCGACTGGAGGAGGCGCTGAGTCAGCGGGAGCTGGACAGGATCCGACGCTGGTGTATCATGAGGCAGCAGACCGGCTTCCACGGGCGCCCTAACAAACCTGTAGACACATGCTACTCCTTTTGGGTGGGAGCTACGCTAGAGGTACGGACGGGTGTAACAGTCACAGTCACACTCCTGCATGCATTAACATGTTTAGTGCATTTAAGTTTGTAATGGAAGAAGATAAAACAGAAGTTTTGAAGAGTGCCTTTTTAAAAATAATACTGTATGTACTTGCCCTGTCTGAACAACTGACTTAATCCCCCCCCCCAAAAAAAGTGAGCAAACCATTCAGCATTTGGGTCATGACTATGCCAGAGGTATACATGCATACAAATGATCCAGAAAACTGTGGATCAGCTATGAGTAAGCCATGGATATATATATATATATAAACACACACACAAGCAAACACAATGCAGGAAAACTGTGAATTTCTGGGTCAAAACTAAGCCACTGGGATAAATGCACACACTCAAACAAAATATTTGAATATGGCAAACATCGAGGCTTGATATTTTCTCAACTAGTATCTGTATAGAAAGAGAATACAAAGTGATCATTCATTTCAGTGACTCACCTTTGTGAAATGAAATACAGTGATACGAGCCTTGTTTCACTCTTACACAACCAGCGTAGCATCTTTGGAATTGAAAATGTTTAAAAACAACCGGTTGAAAATAATTTAATTGAAATTCGATGCATATGTTAAGTTTTTATATTCGTTCCCAAATGATAAAGCTTCTTCCTTCGTTCCTCTCCTTTTCTCCCCCACTCCTCCCCCCGTACCCTCTCTCCTGCCCCAGCTGTTAGACGTGTTTCAGTATACAAACTTTGAGAAGAACAGGAGCTTCATCCTGTCCACGCAGGACCGGCTGGTGGGGGGATTCGCCAAGTGGCCGGACAGCCATCCAGGTAAATGATCTGTTAGAGGGGGCGTGCTGGATGACTACAAGACACGACCTGAACGCTAATTACAGAAGACTGCTGTGGTTGTTTATATTGGTCTTGAGTTTTTCTGTTTTTTTTCTATACGTAGGCGGATTTCTATCAAAGTGACGCAAATCCCATGTACCTTTTTTATATTGCTGTAAAAGCCACAGGAGTGGAGAGGTGGAGTGGGGTTGAATGGCGTGTTTAATGGCCATGTGGTGGAAACGAACAGAGCACAAATAGACTATGTAGAGGTTGCTGTTCATCATATTGTCGCTGGTTATTTATCAGTAGCTTCAAAGATCTCAAGGACAAAAAGATGATGAAACTAAGCAATTTCTTTTCCCCTCTATCAGACTTTCGGCTGAACAGTTTCCACCCTGCCCTCCACAGGTGCGAAGAGGTCAGGGTGGAGTTGTGGTTGGCAGTTTTTACTTGAGTTCAATGGAAAAGCTCTTGTAACCCTAACCTTCAATGGTGCACATGCTTGTGTGCGTGTGTGTCTCACTGGCCCTTGTAATGTGTAATTGATGAGGCGATTGTTCGTTGGTAGCCGCAGGACACAGGAGATCGAGCTCCTCACGTTACAGGAACAAGGCAGGGAAGATACGCTGCAAGAAACAATGAGGCAAAACAGATGCTGTATTGACAATAGACTCAAAGACTATTAAATATTTCTGAACAAAAGATAGTTTTAAGAAATAAAAGGGACTCTTTTGCAGTATGGGTGCTGATAGCATTGGACTTGCATTTGCTTGAACAGTGCTGTCATACACGGCTACTGATGTCCAGGAGCTGGTCTGGGAAGATAGGAGCGACAATGACACAGAACAAAAGAGGGTGGTTTGTATTTGTCAAGCAGATCTGGTCCAAATATACTTTGAACGTTTGACACAATGTGGTTCTGTCCACAGTTGCTCTTTAAGAAAGCGTTTAGGTCATCAGCATCAGTTTTCATGTTAGGAACAGTTGGTATCGTGTAGAGACAGGGTGGTTTAAAATAAAAAAAATAAAAAAAGCATCTGTTGACATGAACCTAAGAAACATATCCACAGCTATTTTGATTGTCTGACTTCATGGCTATAAAAATGGCTGAACAGATGCTCAGCTGATGGACCACAGAATAATATAAGAATTAGCTGTTAATGTTGCTCTTGTAAAGAGTCATGTATTCATTTGTTTGAAAGGTTTCTATGTTGAAAATCCATTCTCAGATTGGGGCATTATGATTAGCAACTGATGCCGCATGCACAACTTGCGTCTCTGTCCTGGCAGGCCGCAGCCTGCTGAAGAGCACAGCGGAGCTCCTTGCGTGACGGAATTAGCCAGAACCGCCAAAAAATGAGCAAAGCCAAAACCTCGCTGTATCCAAGTATCTCTTCCCTTTATAACCCCAACAGTCATTGTGAGTAAAATGCTTGAAATCATCCAACAGTGGTAGATTTCAAGTGATCATGACACATCTTGGAGGTGGAGGGAATGCTTTAAAGTGATTATAATTGATATTTCTAAATCAAATGGAAGAAGTATGGAAATTAACTAAACTAATAGTGATGAATTAACTGATAATAAGCACCTGAATGTGGAGCTCCCCTCTGCTTTATAGTGACTTTCAGCTCATTGTTTAACAGTCACTCTTGTTGCTGTAGTTGAGTAGGTTTTTGGCTGCAGCAGGCAGTTGTTTTCAGCAAAAACACTAAGAGATCACTTACATTTGCACAGATGGCGGTCCAGATGAATGATAATGTTGTTCCTTAATTGCTCGATGTGTAAATGAGCAAGTGTTTGCTTCCAAGTTCACCCTATTAACTTGAAATGAGGTGATTGCAGGATTTAAAAAAAAAAAAATGGCAGATTACATTATAAGTATCAGTAACATTACAACTATAATTGTCCAGTTTAAGTTTGGAAACATGTCTGTTATATGAGCGCACTAGCTCATCACGCCGCTCTATCGGAATGATAATTCAATATTGTTATGTACCGACTTAACTTGTTAATGTTCGGCAAATTTCTGTCGTCCAAATGAATTGTATTGAACTAGTTACAGTCCAAAACACAAATGTGCCTCATATGTCATTTTGTATCCAATTGCCATACATCACAGTTTTATATAAATCTAAATAGAAAAATATCCTTTTTAAATCAAATCTCGTCTCGAACATCGGACTAATTCAGATGTATTCTGTGCAGCCTTAAGTCTGAGCCCTTCTGAATCCTGATTGATGCAGCTAATGGTGCTTTGATTGATTCTGATGTCTGTGTCCAATGATCTGTCATTTCATTATAATTCAATTTCCGCTCCATTTACTGGCCTGTGGAGCTTTTACTTTGGTCCCAGGGGAGGGAAAGGGTCATGGGGCCAACCTATGTGCATAATTTATATCTTCTTAAAGGAGCAGCACAACAAGAACAATGCTTCTGCACAATGATGATTTTATATGAAATGAGGTTATTGTTTTATTTATCGAGCAATGGAGAGCGAGGTGACAAACACCATCATCGTCTTATCTCTGATCATGCCTACAGACCTTTCACACGCAGGTGCTTCTGCTGTGATACACGTTAACCGTCTCTGACCCAGTTTCTCCCTTTTTCCCCTCCTTTTCATCCCTCACTGTGCTCCCCTTTCTCTCTCTCTCCATTCCCTGTCCACCAGACCCTCTCCATGCCTACTTAGGGCTGTGCGGTCTGTCTCTGATCGGAGAGCCCAGTCTGAGGAAGGTCCACCCAGCTCTTAACATCACCCAGAGAGCCTTTCAGCACCTCCAGCAGCTGCAGCAGACATGGAGGGACAGCACCGGCAGCTGCAGCAGACAGCATTGACGGAAGGATGATTCGGTAATCAGGAACATCCTACAGTAGTCAGTCGAAAGGCAACTGGACTTTTTGCTGTGTGTCTTGAAGATGTTTGGCCCCTCGTCTGAGATGCCTCCTCCTTTCAGGAATCAGGAAGGTTTTTCTCCGGGTTACACACTAGTAACTCCGGGGAGCTCATTTTAAGTCCATCTAAAGCGACCTTTCTGTTGAGCAATTTACGCCACACTTTTTTTTTTGCTGCCTTTTTATTAGTAGACGATAGTAAATAATAATGTGCTTTGTGTTTTGTGGGTTAAAATGATGTGCCAGAAAGTCAAATTTAAGTCACTGGAGACTTGAAGAAATTCCAGGTGCCTTTGCACTGAAGTTTTTGAAGCTTCTTGCTCCTTAGCCTCATCATCATAGTCAACAACACAATCTGCTGTAAGCCTTCTAGCCAAGGATGAACGCTACTGGTTCACTTCACATGGATATAAGAAACTTCCTCAAAGTAAATATTATTCGCAGTCTGAGGAGGGCTTAGGGAACATCTAAACTGTCTCTTTAAATTGTTCAGGAGTAACTGCTGGCTTCAGTAGTTGAAGGTTTTTGAGGGAGTTGATCTAATTGTATGTGAAACTACTATGAATGCTTTTCTATTGTATTGGCCCAGTGGTAAATTTGAGGGGGAACAAACTCGTATGTTTCCTTTAGATTATCATCCCTACATTCTCAGACTAAAACCACTCCAGAGACACTTTCCTCCCTGTATAGTATTTTTGCTTCTCCCCATCTCGATCTGTGCGTTGCTCTTGAACCTCTTCAAAGCCTCAAGCTCCCGAGTCCCAAAGGTGGTACTGGCCTGGCAGGTAAACTCTCCCGTGTCTCTCACTTCAGCTCCCTTCAGTTTCACCACTGCAGGCTTTTTTTTTTTTTTTTCAGTGATCAAGAGATTTGAATGATAATAGAACTGCCAAAAAACACCTTAAGGGGCAAATCTATGACTTATCTATCCTAGAAAGAGGATTTAAAAAAAAGCTACAGGCCTTATCATTGCAGATCACAGAAAATCTAATTTATAGTTCACATTTTTCCTGAGGCCAACAGAAAAAAAGATAGAGAATTTGGTAAGAGGGAGAAAATCCCTGCTTCCCTTCAAGGTTGTAGTCAATTTTAGCAGAAGATCCCATCCCGACATCCCCCGACTCCTGAACCTTGAACTGATCTGAGCTCCCAACCTTCACTACCTTCCTTATCCCTGCAAGGCACCAGCCAGTTTATAATCAATAGGAGGAAGACGAGACTTGGGGAAATGTATTCTTTTGAACGGCACTGGCTATTGGCTTATTTTCAGAACAGCAAACAAAGAACAATGCACATGAGCGGTGTGTGCCACCGAGAGTCAGGTTGCGGAAACGACTATTATCCAACCTGCTAGTCACTTCCCATTGAGTCCTAAAACGTTGACCTCCAACAAAACTTGACCAAGGTTTGCACCACTGGACTCTCTCACTGGAAGCTACCCATTGTCTGCACAGATGCTCACAGGTATTAATAGCCACTGCAGATCATACACGCCACCTTCCAGACTTCCTGCCCTTGAGCTTAGCTACACATTATACATTTCTACTTTTAAACCCTAATAAAATCTTGACATGGTGACACAGAGGTACTGAAATTCTGAGTTGGGCTCATCCTTTTGCCTTTTCATCACATCAATGCTCTTGACTCCCAGCAAGCAACATTTCCCCCTGCTGAAGCCACACCCTTTCAGTATAAGATCGCTGTCACGGCCAACACCTGCTCCCTGTTATGACGAGGGAGGAGGAGACAATATCACAGCAAGTCAGAAATACAGTGGCCTGTCTGCAACATGTTGCCTGTGGGAGTGTGCTGTGAGTATACAAAAGTAATATCACCTCTGTGGTTTTCCTTCCCGCCATCTAAAATAAGGCTGTACCTGGCCTCGCCGCCCCTTTCCCGCCAAGTTGCCCTCATTTTCAGACTTGGAAAGCAGAGCAGGCAGACAGAGGAAAGGAGAGAAGAGGGGAGGAGAGGTGGATAAATAAATAATTTGACCCATCCATTATTAAACATAAACTGTCGGAGGCTGGAATCTCCTCTTTGAACTCAAACTCTCAGTGTTACATAGCCTTGTTTGGTGCAAAAACGTTGCTTTTTAGCCTCCCACATCTTATATTGCTGTATAGTTTTTTTACTATTCGCCTAAGACGATGGGCTTTGCTACAGTTACTCTTGCTGATCGTGTCGCCTCCTTTTCTGAAAACATTTTGTGAAATATTTTTTAATAATTTCACCTTTTAGAAAAGATATGTCAACCATGACTTTCATTGCTGCTGCTGAATTGAGCCTCACACACAAATCATGTGATAATACAAGCTCAACAAAATGAGCTTTTGTATTATTCATCATATAGTATTTCTGGTATCAACCTTTTGTTGTTTATTAGTCATGAAATGTCTGAAGTAAATTGCATTGAAAGAAAGTTTCCCATGCATCTTCTGAAGTGACTTTTACTGCTTATACAACCTCCATCGACTGGGTTCTGTCCTTAGCATACGTAGGCCAAGTCACATAGTAAAAATGCTCTAACTTGACTCTGAAATGTGCCTCACATAAGCATTGTATTGGGTCACAGCTCTCTGAATGCTCTCCACGTGTACAGCATGCTTTAATTGGGTTTAGCTTGGCTCTTTCAATCAATAAAGGCACAGGATATAAGTGTTCTCTTGGGGGAAGGAGGAGAGGTGTATCCTAAATCCTTGTAAACATTCAGGGTGGCACTCCTGCTCTGTAAACAATTTTTCCTCCCTCTTATCTTTGCAGAGTTCACTTATCCGATCAAACATAAGCCTGCTGGTAGAGGTCGTTTTACCACAATCTGGCTTCGTCCCTTCACGTCTGGTCGATAATGTATTTCCAGAAAAGAGGGGAAGAATTCATTGAGACAGAACCCATAAATGCTTACTCGACTTTAAAAAGGGTGAAGGATTGGATGGATGGATCTGCCACTTACTGCGGGGCGAAGGCTGCATCTCAGCAGTTGTTACATTGCGTCTCCTTTTTTTGCCACATCACGCTGCAGTCGATGCTCTCAGTCCCACAGCATGAAAAGAGAGGGACAAGGCTTTGCTTCTAAGACTGCTGCAGTGAAAGCTGCGTTCGGATGTGAAAGGGACTGTCTTACGAGGTGCGGCCAAAATGTCACACGTGGTCAATGGTGAACCCTTGCTCTGTCATCAACTAATATACATACTGTAATAATAAATAATGTAACAATAAATGTAATGGAATTTATTTTTTCTATACTTTGTAGTAATATTGAGTGTAGATAAATATGTAAATGTCTATAAATATGTGACTTCAATTGTGCAAGTGCTCAAGATGAAAAAAAATGTTTACAGCCACATCAGTGAGATGGTTAGAGGAATTGGATATGCAAATGTTGATATGTGATGTATTATAGTACTTCAGCTTTGAACTTGAGGACAGTAATGTTGATTCTAGCTTGGCGGTGCATACTGTATTTATGGTGAATAAAAACACGTACTAACTTTTACAATTGTTCTAGTTTCACTGTTTTGAGCGTGTGACCTCAGGACTGCTTTGGGTATCAAGACTTCAGGTCGAAAGCATTTTACCCCCTCTGGAGCATGAACGTGCTCATAAAATTTAATGGCAGTGCACCGATTAGTTTGTGATGTCTTGTGGAAAGTTGACATTTCGTCCTAAAGGGGGCGCTAAGAGAAGGTTTACCTCTGGGCATCGTTCTCAGCCAACAAACTGGTCCTACTGGTTTTGCGATGAATCTTGTTATAAATGGATAATGTGTCCTGATGGTGGCCCTAGTAGGAAAGGTCATTGAGTCAGCAAAAACATTAAGATTTATCATCAAGGAAGAATCAGAATCCGAAGCAAAATGGCAAGAAATCAAACCAGTTTTGGGATAAATAGTGACCACCAAAATCATTCAAGAAAGCCTCACAATCAAAACCATAATCTTAATCCAGATCCACGGCCTTTCCACGTTTATTAGGTGTGCTGCTAAAAAAAGATATTTGGGACCAAAAATCCTCATGCTCCATGTAGTCCAACCTCTGGGGACCATTAACATCTTTAGAAAATGTCATGTCTAAATAGCCAATAGTTATTGAGTTGTGAACTGTGGACAAGAAGAGGGCCACTGACAGCGACCATTTTGAGACAATCTCAGTCTGTTCACACATTGCATCCAAACGTGCAATGACACTGGTGTGATGGAAAAAAAGAAAGACAACCTCATTGACCCATAAGATCCGGATCAATCTTTGGCACCATTACTACCTAACTGGAATTTCCAGCTGCTGTTCACTCATTAGTCTTGAGTATTGATAACTAATCGGACCAGAAGCAGAAGCAGACATTGTTACCACTAGTCGGGAATGAGATCCTACATCCATCTCTAACATGTGGGTCAAATAGAGCACTTTTTATTCCCATAAGTGTGCGTTATGTCTCAATGTCTTTCCGGCATGTGAGTAGCTAAAGGCGAAAGTAATTTTTCTTCCTAAAACAAGAATGAAATCCTTCATTTGGGTATCGTATCATTACCTCCAGTAGCTGAGTTTCTCTATAAAAGACCAAGTCCTTGTTTCCTTTCACATTACTCTCTGTGTGGCCGGATGACTCAGAACTGTTCTTGCTTTATTTTTAACATCAAAGATAACAACTGGTCAGCGTTTTTCCTAATAGCCTTTCATTTTCTGCAACGTGGATCAGTTGTAACTCCACTTTTTTTTTCTGTTCTTTGCTAGGTCAGTGACTAAGGCACAAATAAAAGCCTTGGGCGGGGGGGAGGGGAGCTTCACTGGATACAGGGCACACATGCAAACACACATATAGAGTCCCACCTGGGAGTTGCATAGCACAGTCACAGACTTCACTGTTGGCAGTGATAAGGTAATTCGATCCAGACAAATGTGGCCTAGATGCACTTAAATATCCAATCTGGATGTAGAGGGTGATGAAAAATTAAACAGCACTTGATCACACATTTAATGATTCTTCAAGTTGAGGAAGCAGTTAAGAAAAAAAGGAAAAAATAAGGTTTGAAATGTATTTTCCTCCCCGGTGTACACAGCCCAGCCGAGATTCAAATTGTCTGGAGATGCTCCCTTGACAGCCAGCTGTAGTTTGGGTGTGGTCCCCCTGTTCAACAGACAGCTTATACCTGTGTGGCACCAGACTTCTCTATGAGACGTGAAACCCTATATTGGAGAGGAAGAAAACGTAAAAAGCGAAGTTAAAATCTGGTTTGGTAGACTTTGATGAGTTCCTTTTAGTTGTCATGCACAGGCAAACCCAAGAAAGAAGAGAACTTGATCTTCCATACTCTGTTGTTTTGATGTTTATGGAGCAGAGCTGTTGCTACTGCACAAGTATACAAATACAGCATGTTTACCGCTTTGAGTCATGTGATATGAATGACTCATGTTTAATGATCTGCAGGCCCTTAGGGTGAACTTATATGTGCTTATGCAACAGTGGCTTTCTCTGTAGTTATTTAACTTGAATCAATCCTACTTAGTAAAACACACTAATCGATGCGTTTTATTGATTATTCGGTCTAGCAGAGGGCAGTGTGGCTCAGTTATGTGGCTTTCTATGGCGCAATCGAGTGTCCTCTCAGATAACATGAGCACTGGACTCATCTTTGCCCTGAGAGTCTCTTGAAATGGTCACTAGACTGAAGATGCTGCACTTGACCAGTGAGCCAAATTGGTACATCTTTGTAATGAGGCTCCCTTTATACAGGGTTTATAAGTTGTAACTAATGCCTTTTATAAACAGTTAATAGCTCATCTATTAATGCTTATAGATCAGTTATAAGTTAACATGTTTATTGTTAATGACTGGTACAAATAACTTTGGTGATCTCTTTACTTTTCCTCCAGTAGTGCCACCACAAGTACCACTATTCTGGTTTTGGAGTGACATTTCTCAACTATCGGATGGGTTGCCATGAAATTCAATTCCGACATTCATCAGGCTGAACTGTAACCTTGATAATCCCTTAATTTTGTTCCCTTAAACTTTAGATTTGTCTAACATTTGGTTCATACAGCCTTGCCTGTACTTCTGCGTTGAGTGCTGACGCTCCACACGAAGATGGTGAACATGGTGAACATCAGCGTGTTAGCATTGGCATTGTGAGCCTGGATTAGAGTTTAGCTCAAAGCCTCACAGCATGCAGACTCATAGTGGTTTTCACAACCTGGCAACCCACGTTGTTCTTAATGATGGCTTAAAGCTGATCTATAAAGCATTAGTAAAACATTTAAAGCCTTGTGTTACAACTCATGGCTCAAGTGTGGCACCTTTTACAACAGATGCCCTATTAGAAAGTGAAATGTTGTTCATTTTATCCCCATTTCAAGGTAATATTTTAGCATTTTAAAGATCTTCCACCTCATCTTAAAGAGGATATCTTTTCCCAAATGACACCATGTTGCTCTGTTGCAGTAAACAGTAATTATCTCTGTGGCTTTTTCTTTTTTTCTGGAAACAGTGGTCAGTTAGTGGATGAGTTATTACTTTTGTCATGCACCGTTTGCCCCGTCAGGGCAGTCTGCCCGTTTGCCCCCCCTCCTTCCACCCCTCCACATGCTCAATGGGGTGGAATATGTCTGCATGAAGCCGTGAGGCCATCTGGTGACGCGGAACAAGTGGCATTGCCACAAAAATTAAAAACACGAACTTAATCCGGCCCCACACAGTCGCCTCACATTCCGGCTCATGCGTGAAACAGGTCTCTTATTTCAATCTGACACACACACAGGAGGCGTTGGGGAGGGGGGCAAAAAAAAAAAATCCCCCTTCAGTGACAGAAACCAAAACCACTATGAGACCCAAAAGAGCCGCAGTCACATATTTGGGTCGCTGTGAGCAGAAATCAGCCCTTATAAAGCAACATACGCACTCAGGAGCGCGCCGCCGGCCATGCGTAAATGCCCAACTTGACTGAACGCTGAGAGATTTACGACCCCCCTCCTCGCCCCCCTCCTTTTAATCTTCAGACTGAGATTATTATATGATTATTGCTAGTGACTGATGGATAATAAATAAAAAAAAAAACGGGTTGATAAATGACAGAGCAGGAGCATACAAAGAGCTCTGTGAGTCGAGACATCGCCGCTGAGGGGATGATGAAGAGAGAGAGGAGGGAGATGGTACAGTATGGAGAGAGAGGCGAGGGCGGGGTTTTCCCTCCAAGATGAGCCAAACTAAAAGAAGAAAATTGGCTTTCTTGCAGCCGGCGCATGTACTGTAGACTGCCTGCACACACACACACACACAGAGAGAGGGAGGAGAGAGGATGATGATGGAGGTCTGAGGAGCGGCTCTTCTCTCTCGATGCTATCTCGCCTCCCCCTGTGAAGCTGCGTTTGATCCTGTTCCTTTAAGCTGCAGCTGCTTGTTTGTGTGTTTGTTTTTCTACATTTTAATATCCCCATCTTTGCTGCTGGCCGGTCTGTCTACTGTACACCCATCACCATCTGTAGCCATGTCGGACTCTGAGGACATGACGGAGTTCGCCAGCATCGTGGAGCGGATCGAGCGGGGCGAGGTGAGTCTCATCCGGATGATTTACGGTCCTTCTGACAGCACTGATCGGTCTGTCAACGTGCACCGACAGCAGCCAGCCAGCACCGGGCCGGCCTGCAGGGCTGCCGGGGGGATTGGAGAGAGATGCTGACAAACCCAGACCACTACCTAATCTATTCTAGTCTAGTCTGTTTTAATCATATTAGTGCAAAAACTCTGTAGTCATACTACTCTAATATTATATATTAGATCTATTCTAATATTAGCCTCTATGTTCTGATTCGCCAGACCCAAACCTATTTCTGTAACACGATTTCAGGTGTGTACCTGCTATTCTAATCATATTAATACCAAACCTGCTCATTTCCATGCTACTGACCCTTTATATGTAGCCTAATGTTATATTCTGTAAGTGTGTCTCTGCTACTCTAATCATATTAATGCCAAATGTGCAGTTCAAACATATTGCTGTATAATCTTTTATATTTGAACCAGCTATGCTAGAAGCAGTGATATACCATAACTCTATACTGTAAGAAGAGCTGAGGTATTCAGATACAACCTATACAAACCCATGCATTCTCTATTGTATTCTGTTGTACTCTATTCTGTGTCAAGGCTTCCTGGCTTTAAGGCATAGGCTTCTCTTCTATTCTTAGGAAAAAAAAACAGAACATAAAGAGTTAAATTAGAAGCATCAGTGGCTGAGTGTGATGGTTGGAAAGTGCTGCAGGCATATCACAGACTCCTGTCAATATGTGGGACACTTGGCAGCAGCTGTGTTGTGAGACAGAGCACCGGGTTACTGGGGTGTGTATGTGTCTGCATTGGGAGGAGGGAGGGAGGGTCTTTACCCATCTCACCCTTTTCAGGCTGACAAAATGTGTTGAAATGAATCTCTCCTGCTCACACAATCTCTGACACCCATCCATGCATGCAAGCTGTGCGTGTGTGTGTTTTGTGTGTCGGATAAAAATAACCGTAAAGGCGACTGACTCAGTGGCCAGTTGCTGAATTCAGTGATATTTTACATTTTAATCAGGCCTGTTTTGCACAATGAGCAACAGGGTGTACCCTTGTCTCTGTAGTGTCAGATCAAAGAGAATAAACACAATAAACACAGTATATATAAGAGCAGTACTATTGTAATAGATTGTTAGGTCTCTTTATGTAAGCTGCAGTATGAAAATACATAACGGTACAACAAGAGACTGTACAGACAGTGTGTGCCCTTCAGTATCCTTTTTGATAGTGAATCTTATGTGAGACTAAATTTCTAACAGCTGTGTGAAATAGTAAAATATATTCATTGGATTTGGTCCAGGGTTACACAGGCCATGGAAATACACCAAATATCATATGAGCATTAAATATATGTTCATTTTTATAGTATAATGTTGTGTTCCATGTCCAGAAAATCCATATTTAGGTGAATATGTGATGAAAATTTAAGAAAACCTTTGGGTCTGAGATTGAGAGTAGATCACATGCTTTTAAAATGATGCAACCATTTGGATGTTTAGCACATATCCTCTCCCCTGTGTTCTGCCTCCCCGGGGTCCTGTAGGTCCCTACAGGCTGCACCCACATAATGAACTGCTGAAAAACTGTGGCAGAAAATAGATATTAGAAACCTCTGTTACCTCCCGTGAAACTGATCCTGTGGAACTGAAACTGTCTGTATGGATTGCTGCTAACAGATGCTGTTGTAAATGTCTGCAGTGTCATCAGTGACCGTGCACATGCACTTTGGCCAGAGGACGAAGGAAAACATTTCATCTACTTCATCCTGCACTGTTACTTCCTAAAGAAATTACAGCTCCCTCTCGAAAGCTGTTATATGGTCCAATTTGTTCTTTGACCAAGACGTTGTTAGGCTGACCTGCTAGAGGGCCCAATGTGCAATAAAATGAACTGTAAACCCACTGCGGCAAGCAATTAGCAGATCATAAATCTTCTGGAATAATGGGAGGGACCCTGACATTAGTAGGGACTGTAAACTGAATAGGAATGATAGCTTACACAGGTCCTTTTTATAAAGTATAGAAACCTTCTGAGGACTGAATTCAGTAGCCCACAGTCAGCCAGGAGACACTGTAAACTTAATAGTCTATCATATTTCATATAAATGTTTCACAAGAAAGTGTGGGGAACTTGTTTTGAATTTCGATTTTAAGTACGGATATAGATACATAAAGACACTTAGACTGTTCAATCCCCACTGTTCTCAGCAGACCAAACCGACTAATGGACTGTAAATCAATCCCACTGCAGACCTCCTTCACTTCTGTCTTTGGATCATAAAACACACAAGTGCAATACTTGTAACACCGCTAGCTGCAAACACAAAACACTTCCATTCCCATCTCTTATTTCATTTTTATAGCAAAATCTTTGTCTCTTCACTTATTTGTGAGTATTATACACTCACGCTTCATACTTTCAAGTTCTTAGCCATGTTAGCAGTGCAGCACTATAGGTGGCAGTATTGGTTGGGTCTCCACAACTATTTGACTGCAATGACATTTTGTACACACATTCCTTGAGGATGATTCCTACTGACATTGGTGATCCCCTGACTTTACCTATAGCGCCACCAGCTGGTTGACAGTTGTGGTTCAGAGTGAGATATCTCTTTGCTACATATATTCATGGTCCTCAGAGGATAAATCTTAATCACTGTGACTCTCGTGTCAACAGCAGGTCAATGTTTTCACTTATTCAGTGAAATATCTGAGCATCTACTAATTGGACTGGACTGTGTTGTTACTATTTATACTCACCCACCTGTACATAAATAATAATTCTGTGTTTATTTTGAGCTATCTTTGTATCTCAGCTTTGTTGTCCTTGTTTTTAGCTGTATTTCTGTCTAGTAAACTGTGTAACACTAAGAGCAACTTGAAACCAGAGTCAGATTCCTTGTATGCGTTCACACACTTGGCCAATAAAACAGATTCTGATGTTAGCATTCTCACATTAGCATTTAGCTCAAATCCCACTGTACCTAAGTACAATAAAGCTATTTTATCTTACACACAGGCAAAGTACATTTACTCAAATACTGTACTTAATACTACTATACTACTTAACTGTACGTGATCAGTGTGTGAACTATATCATGGCTTTCAGGGGAGCTCACTTTTCCTACTGTAGTGTGGGAGTGACTGACTATGACAAACAGTATACTGACTACAAATTATTAATGGTGATTCAGCACACTGACTGACTGGGACTAGGAAAAGTTTATTTTCTGATCTAAATTTAATGATATTGTGCAGCCAGGCTTCAGTGCTATTGGCAAGAATAGCAGTATTTTTAATAAAGGGAATTAGTGATGAATCATCCTCATGCACAAATCTTTCATCAGTAGTAAACCCAAGTTTACACATAATCCACGATGATGAAGATATAGAAAAATGGAAAAAAAGCACCCCAAAATTTCACAAATCCCCTGTACTTTGGACCCTGAGTTACTTGTACTTTATACGATTTCCATTTTATGCTACTTTACACTTTTACTTCTTTCGGAGGCTAATATTGTACTTTTTACTCCACTATAGGCTACATTTATTTAACAGCTTTAATTAATAGTTACTTTAGAGATTTATATTATTAATACAAATTGAATAAACTAATAATAATAATAATACACCCCATTGATTATCAATGAAAAAAGTGCCAGAAATACATCATCTTAACCCCCTGAAACTAATAATAATAATAATTGCATTATAAGCTACCCAGCAGTATATCAAGTATGAAATCAGCCCCATGGTTACCAGAATCAGCATTAAAGGGCCATTCTACATTATTATTAGTTTTGGTACTTAAAGCAATTTCAGATTGATTTAAGTAAGATTTTGAATCCAGGACTATCTTCTACAGCGTATTGCTACTCTTACTTCAGTAAATATCTTCCCACCCGCTGTATATGCGGTACTGTGGTCGAAATAAGGAATACAACGCAGATTCACACTGCTGACTGGAAGTTGGATCGATGACTTCAAGAAAGTTTACGAGGTGCACATGAAGGCAGCAGTAGTTCCTATGGCGATCCAACTCC